GAGCTTTTTTTTTTTTTTGGGGGGGGGGGTGGTAAGCAAACTGATCCAAATACAAACAGGAGAATTGAAAAACACCAAAATTGCATTAAGAGGTTGAACTTGAACAAAGAATTGGAAGGGGTCAAAGCCGATCCTAACATATCTCAGAGGTACTAAAAGCATCACATCATAAATCCATGTGGTGGAAAAATAATACTTGTAGCACAAATGAGGTTGATGTAATTGAAGAAATAAATAGAGTTATATGGGTAAATTATGTTATCATACGATTCGTTGCTGCAAATCTCAGAGGAATGAATTATTTGCCAGATGTGCAAAGTTCTTAACCTTCAAATTTTAATATTGACTACAAAACTAAAATACCCCAAAAGAAAGAAAGAAATTTGAAGAGTGCCCGTCCCAACAAATAGAAGGCCTGTAACAACGATTTTTTAGAGATGTGGACACACTATATACAATTGCAAACATGACCCTGTTATCTACCAAATAGGTAAAAATATACTCATCTGAAATCATTTGTTATAGATTAGAATTTTGGTAAAATAAACATTATCATTATATCACAGTGGAAGCACAGACAAAATCTATCTAGATTCATACCTTACATAAATAATGCATCAAAGTCATTTTGTTGTTTCTTGCCCGAGTATCAGACAATTTAAGAAGGCTGTCCAACTTAAAACCTATAGCAGAGCCTGCAAAGTAAACACAAAGATAATTTCTTAAAAGCAAATGCATTAGACCAGCAAGCAAAGCCCTAAAGCCTGATTCCTCTACACTTCGCAAATTGGATACACGCTGTAATGCTTGGACTAAACAGATCAATATATATGATGACCAGTTGAAAAGAAATAAAAGAATAAAGAATCTTTAAAGGCAGATAAATCTTGTGTTAGTCCTTCAAGCTCGTCTATTACATCTTCAATCATTTTAACAAAACTATATAGACTAAAATGGCAACGGGTGAGATGTCTACCTCGAGCAGTACCCTGGTTTAATGCATTCCCCAATGTAAGAATTGTTTGCATTACTTGACGCAATTTTTCAGATCCTTTGACCTGTTGTTTTAAATTGCAAAATTAATATGGACTCGGATATAATAAATACGATTGCTTAGAAACCATCAATAAGTAAAAGGGTACCTCTCTTGTAGCATCATTTATTGTATTCAAATTATATCTCAAATCCTTCACCTGACCAAAATAAGAGCTAAAACTGTTTACTACAGGCAAATAACATACAGGCTTGTGTGAAACAATTTGATAATCATACCTGGCTTGAAAAGGTAATTTTGAAAGCAAATACTCGTAACTTGGGCTCTATTCGTGGGACCTTCATTAACTCGAGAAAAAACTGAAAAGAATGAAATAGCATGTGTTTCAGAAATTTCATTGGGCCTTACGCATGCTGAGGAGATAGAAGCAATTAAAGTACCTGCTCACACTTTCCAAGCATTGCTTTGTCACCTGTATAATTCTGTAATATGCCCATGTTTGGCAGGAAAAATGAAACAAATTAAAAGTGCACATGGCTTTTAATATCTATTATACCAAACTGGAACTCAGCATACTACGACATATTTACTTAATATAAATCAGAAACCACAATACCAAAACTGATTTTACCACACCTCTTTACTTGCAACCAATATTGTCCATCAGACATGACGCAAGAATTTTATTTATTTATTTTGCATAATGATCAAATTAACAGTTGGTAAACCCAAATGCTTTGATCTTGTGAATTTAAGTTACGGTGCTATCTACATTCTACTTAAAGATGTAAAAAATCCAACGAGCTTTTGGACACCAAATGTTGTAAAATCAAACAGTTCTCGTGAAAGAGAAGCAGAACTTCATGTAAGCTATCTAGATACCTAAGACAATGACAAAATGATTCTAACCCCTATTATTAGTACATGATGAAAAATATGGAAAGTAAATCATGCTCTTTGAAAAATAAAAATCATAGATACACTGCTTCATATATGCAATACATTACTTGCATTAAATAAGAAAAGCATTTCCTAAACATATACCAGGCAAAACCTTCCTAATAATAGGCCTAAGGTTCCCGGGAAAATAAAAGATAAAGACAAAAATAGTTGCTCCTTTGCCCTAACAGCTAAATGAAAAGCTCTTCTTAATTAAAATTATAAACCATATCCCACTATTGACCAGTAAAGCCATTTTAATTGATATTGCAAATCCTATCCGAAACTTCACTTATATGAATAAACTCGTAACTAGTTGTAACTGCAAGACCTAACAGGGGAAAGGAAACTTCTTTGAAAGAAATAAACTTCACACATTTGATGGATTGCTCTTAGAATAACTCATCAAAAAAACTTGTTACGTACAAATATCAAAACAGCTAAGGCTCACTAAATTCAACATTGAACTTCAACCCCGCTGTACAATATGTGATAGAGTACCCAAAGTTCTGAAATGAAAAAATGTACCAATATGTACAATGAAAGAGGATGCCAGGACGTCATACCTTCAACGTTTCCATTTCTTCCCTAGTAGGACAGAACTTGATGAGATTCTCAACCTGGTCAATATCAAGAGCAGAAGAATCCAATGCAAGAACTGAATTCTGCAAAAAGAAAACTAGATGAGGTATATAAATCACAGCCTTATAGCGGAGACCATCATTCTAACCAAAAAAAAAAAAAAAAAAAAAAAAAAAAAAAAAAAAAAAAAA